CCAATACCCCACAAAGGCTTTGTTGGGGCGCCCAGAGCTTGGCTAGGGAGGGGGACCACAGGCAATGCCTACCTCACACCGTGCCCTTCCCAGTACCCGTGGGAATGATACACCCATCCCCCCCCATTAAACACCTTCCAAATGCTCTCCAGCTCACAGCTTTCCCAGGATCTCGTGGATATCGTTAAGTCCCACTGTAGCTGGCAGAACAGGCTGACAAAACCATCACCCCCTTTTTCACGTGTGAGAAACGTGATGCAGAATGTCTGCCCTTAATGAGTGCCTTAATAGAAACCACTTGCCACTGGCCTCCAATTAGCAGAGGCCCCACAAGAGGACTTTCCTTCCTTAAGTGCTCATTGTGAAGCACTTCTGCTGCAGTCCTGTGGCAATGGTCACTGTTGGAGTGGTAGGTGGGCTCCCTGAACTCCCCATCAAAGCAAATGATGGAAGGCAAAGCATTTGCAGCCCAGTGACACTAAGCTGGGACTCAGCAGGGCCAGGCTACTGAGATCAAGCTGCACAAAAGCAGCACGTTGCCATCAGTGAGTGCCCAAAGGAAGGCTTTGTGGCTGCAGTAGGACTCACCAGCATCCTGCACCTCCATGGGAAGAAAATCAGATCAGTTTAGAGAGAGATTAGAAGAAAAAAAAAGCAGCCCAGAGAGCAGCTGCAGGAAAGCTGGTGTGCTTGGCTATCCCCCATAGGCCTCTCTTTAATATACTCCCCTCAACTTCTCCCTTTAAGGTCAATGCTTTATAGCCCATAAAAGCAGAGGACCTTTAAAAAGCATTAAGCTCCTCTTGACTTTATCAAGAGCAGTGCACTGAGGCCAAAAGCATCAGGTGTGCAATGAGGTCTGAACACATCCTCCCCTTGTGCCTTAGAAGGCTTTTTTACCATAGACATCACCTTCCCCCAGCTGGGACTGCAGCAGGATGCTCTGCCTGGGAATGGGCTCTCACCCAAAACCAGAGGACAGAGAAGGGCCAGAGAGATCCCAGGGAGCAGTACCAGGTTTGGCTGTGAAATTACCCAGGCAGCACATCCCCAAAAAGGGTCCTGTTTTCACCCTCTCCTTTGCTTTTATACACATCCAGCTCCATTGACCTTCATAATGATAATTATGGCTTGCATGGGGGTAAATGACAAAAGCATAAGTTCTGTCATTGGTTTTAACTGATTCCTCTTTTACAGCCTTTTGTAATTAATGCCAAGAACGCTGTCGCAGAACCTGTGCCCAAGGCTCCCATGGATAAGGCCCTGAGCATGGAGCTCCCCTCCTGGGTGTAAATCACAGAAACAGAGAAATGAAAGGAAAAACTGCCCATGGTGACCCAGCAAAGGAACGCAAGCTGGGTCTTCTAATGCCCATGGTGTCTTATTCTGACTTGGAAAACACCTGCAGAAAGTTGGAAAGGGCTCAGAGCTGTGAGGTCTGGAGATGGGGCTGAGAGCAGAGGCTGCCTGGGGAGGGAGGTTTCTGCACATGAAGGATCTTTTATCTGATAACAGAGGCAAAGTGATAGTCCACAGTGTGGAGTGGAAGTTGGAAGAATTCTGATTAGAAAATGGAGCTGTGGTCCCTCAGGGGGAGGTGAAAGAACTCAGCTGGAGGCATGGTGCTCTTCCATTGCTTGGCACAGTTAACTCAGAGCCAAGAGCCTTTCTGAAAGAAGCTTCCTGGCTCCTCCACACATTACAGGTGAAATGTCACCGTGTGACGGATTTTCACCATATCTTTCTGTAGGAATTGCCTAGGGATCCCACCTGCAGCAAGTGGGGCTGAATTTCTCAACTGAAGTCAACACAAAGGAAGGCAAAAACTGTTGTTTCTTGGGAAATTGGCCCACTCTGGTTGAAGATGCTAATATGGACTCTGGGTGGAGATAGCTGGACAAAGATGTTCCATGCCATACATCCAGCCTGCCAGTGGCTGCTCATTGCCATTTTTCTTCCCTTAAAAAGTGAAAATATTTTGGGAAAACAGCTCCTTTTTGATGCAATTTTATACAACATATCGTCCAAAGTGGCTTCGGGCTACCATCAGACGCAGCTCCAAACAGTACATCTGAATGAACGCATTTCCTCCTGCTTCATTACCAACTTCTGAGGCTTCCCTGGTGAGGATCCCAGCTCAGCTGAGCTCTATTTCCATGGGGAGAGGCACAGGAGAGACAGACGTGCTCCTTTAAGGCAGGGCTCCACACACCTCGGGCAGAGCATCGCTGTAATGTGATGCGGCAGTTGCTAAGGTAACAGCACCAACATATTTTTTCATGAATAGCAAAGCAAATTGTCACAGAAGAGTAAAACCCACACGCGTTGCCAGGATATGTGTTCTGTTGCCCCAGGGTTACAAGTATTTACAGGCTGGTTTGTTGTTTTTTTTTTCCCTCATCTTGAAAAATGCTCCTATATGTGCCCATGTACTACTGATGTCCAGGAAAGCCCTCGGTTGCAGCTGCCTTTGTTCACTCCCAACACAGACATCAAACAGAGGTGGTGTGTTTGGCCAAAGCACTGCAGGGGACTTCATTCGGGTCTTCCAAAATGCCCCCACGTGTGGTTCTTTGCTTCACTCCTTGGCTGACCGTGTGTTTATGCCTCCTAATTGTATTAGGCTGCTGATTTGGGGTCAGCAAGGCTGCGTCCCATGTGTTTTATTTGCTGTGTTAGCATTAGGGGTTCAAAATGCACCCGAAGGACTGAGGGAAAGAAAAACAAGATGCATGTATGGATCTGAAAAGATGGCTTGCTTTTTTTCTAAGTTTTAGAAAACAGCTCTCATTCTCTGCAACCCTTCACCTCCCAGCTCAGAAGCAGGTGGAGGATCAGACTGCCAAACTTCAATCCATCACCTAATGCTTTGGGGAGACCAAGTGAGAACAGACCAGCAACCAGCAGCGTGCAGCAGGAATGGTGAGAACCAGCCTCATGCATTAGAAACCAGAAATAAAGCAGCAGCTGAAGAACAGTGGAGGTGCAGAAGATGAACGGGAAGGGAGCTGGAACAGAGTTCAGTGTGTGGCTGCAGGACCTTCCTCCAGCACAAGCCATGGGGATTTTCCTCATTAAAACAACATGGGTAATGTTCTTCAGCTTTCTGCTGGGCATTTTGGTGAAGAGATGAGTCCACTCCCATTAATGCAGCAGTCTGGGATGACCCCGAGGCACAGCCAGCTCTCAGCTGCACTGCCCCAGGCACTATGGGCTTGGTTACAGCTCTCTCCCTGTAATTTGCCCCGAGTTTTCTTCTCCTACTGTAAACAGCACACAGACCTTTTGCCATTGTGTCCTGTGAATTCCTGGAGCCTTTACAGGTGCATCCAACATTTCCAGGCAGTAGCACAGCTTAGTCCTACTGGAGGCACTGCCTTTCCCTTTGTTTTTGGTATGTTGTATTTTTAACTCATCAGACGCTTCTATCCGAGCCTCACAGCTGGAAATTTTGTTGCACTGCTTTTAAAGAGCAGAACAATGCCTTTTCTGGTCTGTTCATTATTGAAATAATTCAAGGACTTAAGCAAGAAGGATAAAACCTCAGCCAGGCCACGCACTGTGCAAACATCCCTTCCTTCCTGGCACTTAACAATGGCTTTGTGTTTGCTTCTTTTGTGCCTAATAGATTCTCTTCAAAAGAAAAGCAAATCCACCTGAGCAGATTTGAAAGGGTTGAACTCATCCCACGATCGATGCTTGCTGACTACAAATTCCTTAGCTGTCCCAGCCAGGCAAAACCCCCCAGCATGATCTCAGTGTTTCAGGCACTTGAAGAGAGCCCAAACTTTCTATCTTGTTATTGAATCAACAGGTGGGGTCAAGGAGGGTAATAGCAAACATCAGAGTCTCATTGAGCACGATTCACACTGGGAGGATTGCCTCGTGCAGCTCAGCCTGATTGCTTCGAAATAGCACAGGATTGTGTGTGCTTCTTGAGAAGCCACTTGCTCTGTGAGAGCTTTCAGGGAGAAAAAAGAGTGGCTGGGAAAGGTGGGAGTCACGCTGTTGTGTAAAGTTTATCTCTTTCCATTCATTTGCAGCACGTGGATAACAGACAGAATGGTATTATGGGGCTTCCAAGTGCCCTCCTGCACCTTCCATGGAGGGAAAGCAGTGATTGCTGCTGCCCAGGGCTCTGCTTGCTCAGGTGTTTTGTAGCTAATGGGAAGAAGCCTCATTAAGAAACACAGATGAATCAAATAGGAAAATAAATAAATAAATAAATAAATAAAAAGAGAAACAATGCAGTCCTGAAGCAATATTGACTCACTGGGAGGGGAGTGAAGACAACAGCTTATGTTGCTAAAAAACCCAAGTTTGTGCTGTTTTTGGGTTCAGCATTTTAGCCAACTGTTAGGAACTTTAGAGTGGATCTCAGCATTTCCCAAGGCCCAGATTGCACATTGGACCATATACCCTGAAATGTTTTTATTTAATTTGAGTCCACATTATGCTGTCTACATATGGTGACACACACATTTCATTTTATGTAGCAGATGCTGCTTTGCTATTGAGAATGTAATATACTGAGTATATTATACTATCATTTGGTTTAGGGTAACTGCAGTGTTTCTTAATTCTGATTAGCTTTAATTTTAAACCTGATTTCCTAAGGAAATGAAGCTTATGAGATTCTGCTTTCTATGCATGTGGTGAGTGATGTGCATCACTCTGCTTGTCCATCATTCTCCCATTTCTTTTGAGTTCACCGACCATCCTCAAAGCAGGATGGGAAAAACTGGGTTGTTTCCCCTAACTCTGCACAAAAAGACTTCACAGGGGAGATGGAGTTTACCAGCCAGGCACATGAGTCCTGGGGAACTCAGCTGACAGAGCACTTTCCCCTAAACCGTAAGCACTTCTGAAAATTAAAGAGCTAAGGGTAATAAGGCCACACTCCCATAGCACCCAGAAAGTAAGATCAGTCAGACTGAATTGTGCTGCTCTGCACAGAGTCAAAAGCCCATCTCAGTCTTAATTAGAAGCTAATTAAAAACTCCAAGTGATTTTCTCTTTGCTGCTCTCCCTGCTGGCCCAAAGGTTGAGCTGCAGACACTGGATTCCCATTCTGACAGCATTCACATTGCTGCAGGGCAACCCCAGATTGAACACCGAACATGGTGCAACTTGGCAACAGCTCCAGCTCCATCTTGCTGCTTGTGTCCAACTCATCTGCTCTCATTTTCAGACGTTTTCCTCAGAATTCACGCTTTGGTTGGCTGAGATCTTTTTAGAGGCAGCAGGGCACAGCTGTGATTAAATTGCACCATGAAAGCCAGACAGCATTTTTAATGCAGCCAGTATTGGTAGTATTCTGTAATTCTCTGTCACTTCCCAGCAAAATATCCTGTTTAGCATGTTAAAATAGCACCCGCTCACCTTAGGTGCTGCACGGCCCCGCACGCGTGAACTCTGTCTTGTTACAGCACCAATTCTGCCAAGAAGGGCCATAAACAGCACTTAGTGATGCATAATATATGAAAATGGTTCACGCTGAGCTTTTAGATACAGAAGGATTTTTTTTTTCTCTTAATACTATTACAAGATGCTCCTTCAGCCATTGAAGCACTGTCATAAATATTTAAAAGATTGTTTGAAAAACCCAGTCAGCGCAGAGTGAATATTTATGGCCCCCAACCCCCTGACCTTTAGATTTGGGGTATGGCATACATAAACTAGCCTCATTAAACCATACACCACAGGTCAGCTTGAGGATCCGATCGGAACTCCAAGCTCCTTCTGAGCATTTAGCATCGCTGAGGTTCCCAGTGATAAAGAAACAGTGCAACAAACAGAGGCCGCGGTTGGACCCGGATGACATGCCCACTGTTGGGGCCAGCACAGAGAAACGTAGAGCATGGATCTGTCACCTTTCATTCCCTTCTCTTGGGGACGGTGCCAACCCACGTTGTCCCAAGAGAGGGAACGGCAGTGAACGGCCCGGCGCTGTCCGTGGTGCTGAACGCAGAGAAAAAACGCAGCATTGGCCGTTCCCAGAGGAACCGTCCGTGGGTTTGTCTGCTCTCTGCTCCCTTGGATTTGTCCCTCCGTAGTGCTAAATCCCCAGTGACACAGAGCCGGGGGTGTACAGCCGAGTTTGGATCTCATTGCCTTCATTCAGGTTTTTCTAGCAGACCCGCTGTAGTTACATACTTCAATCAGAGATTTTCAAAACCTCCATGTATCGCAGCTGGTGCATCTTTTTCTTTTTTTTTTGTTCAGTTTCTGGAAAATTATGACTCACACTCAGTGTTTTCAACCTAAAGCCTTGCATTCCTCCTGCATGCTCAGCCCAAATCTCTCCTCCCCCAAAGGCTGCCCAGGATGGGACTGAGGCTAGAAGCAGCCAGCATCCAGGGAAAGGACTGCACAACATCTCCACATTTCTCAGAATATAACTTTAAGAGCTTAAAGGCCCTTCAGTTCTGCATGTAGTCAGGGTTTTGAAGCATTCCACTGTTATACTTGCATATTTAAAAAGAAAAAACTGAGAAGATAAATGCAAAGGGTTTGAGCATGGAAAGCAGTGGCACTTAGAGAAATCCCATTCAAGTCGCTGAAAAAGGCAAACACTATGAATGTTATATCCATTCAATATCACTCAGGGATATAGCAGGTTTGCTGGGCAGCCCCAGATCACCACTGTGTGTTGACGGGGCCAAAAAATGTGACCTATAGAAAGTCACCGGGTATTGATATCCATAATTCACAGATGCTCCTGGCAAGAACTCACATAATGCTCTTGGCAGCTCTGCCCTGATGAAGGTGAGGGAAATCTGGCAGTGGCAAAGTGAACAAGTGTTTAAGTTTCTGGCAGTTTATGCTCCAGTTGGACCATGTGGCCAGAGTCCATGTGTTAAATAACCAAGCCCAGCACGAGTGAGCAGGGAGCAAGGCTAAAGTGCCACTTAAAGCTTAATAGAGTTGGTAACAAGTGCTGGTTACTCAGTTTGGGCAGTCACACTTAACACTTATTGCAACAGGATGTCAGATGAGCACCACTCAGCTGCCTCTTACCACCCTGGGGGGAGAACTGCTGCAGGGAGCACTTGCAGCCAGGTTGTGTGTGTGCTGCCATGCTTCCAAGGGCAATTTTCCCATCTAGCTAGTGGTAATCAACACAGCAAAGGTACTTCTCTTGCCTTGCTGATGATGGGCTTCCTATGATTCACACCCACTTCTGGGAGATATTCCTGGTCTCCTGCCACATCACTGCACTAATTGCCCTGCTACTAGTAAATACCTTCCAGGTGTATGTCACAAATGATCCACGGGAATTGAACTTTTTTTTTCTTCTGATATTCCTAGCTTTGTTAGCTGGAATTGATTCTGCTTCTACATTAACTGGAAAATAAACAAAAACTCCAGCCAAGCTGGCTGCATGCCTATTGCTGGGAACCTGCTGAAAAAGATGAAAGATCCAATATCGCAATTAATAGGTCCACAGGGGTGCTTTGAGAAGTGCTTCAGTGTCCTCATATCGCCATAACACATTGCAACGCCCTCAGTGCTCCCTTCCAGACCCAAACAAAAGCTGCTGCAGATAATCCCTGCACTACCCAGACTTGCTCCCTGTGGGGAACCACAAGGATCTGCCTTTCTCCTCCTGTTAGTGTCCTCCCAAGGCTGCTGACAGCCTGCAGAGTCACAAGGGGATGTAGAGACATCTCTTCCCCACTCCCTCTGTCTAGGTTCCTTGTTTCCTGTAGCTTGGGGAGTCAGAGAGTAAAAGCAGTGCTCATTTCTTCCTGTGTAAATAGTTGGGAAATGCTCAGATGGGCAGAGTTACACTGATCACAAAAGGCTTTTATGGGTGGTGGAAAGACTCAGGCATACAGAAACGAATGCTGGCTCTGTGGAGTTAAGACTTGTTGGGATCCAGCTCTCATTTGTGGTAGCAAAAGCAAGGGCAAAAATTGGAATCCTTGAATTTAGACCTATTGGCATTCCAGAAGAATCTCTCTCCATCTTGCTGCTTTTGGGAGCCTCTTCTTTGCAGAGGGAAAGGTTTTCTCAAAGTCATCCAAAGGGATACCCAGGGAAACCTTTGAGGACCCTGTGGGAGCCCCTCTGGCTGCCCTGGATTTGTGCTTTCTGTGCTCCAAATCCTGAGTTTTCAGTGCCTGCATAGGAAAAGGGCAAAGAGCTGACGGAGTTAAGCCATTTGAAGGAAGGCAGAAGGTTATGTGCATCAGAGCCAACCTTTATGGGTGTTTGACTAGCAGCTGTTTGTAGACACTCAGCACATTAACAAGGCTGCTGCCACTTACTGTGCAATGATCATTTTAAACCCTCTCCTTTTGTTCCTCTCACTCCACAGGAACCCAAATAGAGCAGTAAAAATACCATCTGAGGGGGCAACTAATTACCTTTACCATTTGTCCCCGAGCCTGCTGCTCTCACTGCTGGGAAGCCAGCACCCAGGGCTTGACTGTGCTCCATAGGGTGATCAGCACAGGGACACCCCACATCTGCTGCCTCTCAGAATGGCAAAACTCCAATGGAGGACTGAGTTTAGAGCAATCCCATCCATATCACTGAACAAAACATCTCTGGATTGAAACAGCCCCGCTTTGCTTCTCTGTCCTTGGGGGATTCCAGAATCAGGCTGGTGAGGGAAGTTAAACTGTTGTTTGCACTGGCTGAAAGGCTCTCCCATAGCAGTGTTTTTTAAAAATTAAATGCTTGTGTCCAATTGTATTTGCATTGTATAATGTCCTTACCCAATGCAATCACTTCAAATCACTGTTCTTCAAATCCTCAGGGACATCTGCAGTGAACAGAGGGCCCAGGTCAAGTATAAACCTTCTGGTTTATTTGGGAATGTGCGTGTCAGTGTTACCATTGCATTAATGAACCATGTAAATCACAGCCAGTTGTTAAATAACAGACAGGAGGAGGAGGGGAAGGGAGAAGGGATTTCGTACCTTTTACAAGGAGAGTTTTGCAGTGACAAGAAAAATCTGTGTCAGTGTTGCAACTCGCCAGCTTGGAGGACATAAGTTTCCCATCCAAATATTGCTTCTTCAGAAGATCTTGCTGCTCCCAGGAGATTCTGCAGAAATTTGTAGAGCCCAATGTTCGCATGCTTTTAGATGGGTATTGCAGAAGGATAATATGAATGGAAATTTTAGATGATTAAGAAAAAAAAAGAGATGCAAGCTGCTTGTTTTCTTCTTTAAGCTGCATTGGGATGCATGGGTCAGACTGACATCCATCACTGACTCCCAAACTCACAGCCATGTCCCTGGTTTGTCAATCACCCTTCAGTTTGTACATGAACAAAGCCCAGTCCTGAGAGGGGATCTCTTACTTCCATGTAATATACAGTTATTACTTCAATATTAAAGGAAAATACAAGGGGAAACTGGACAATCAGGCACGTTGCTTGGCTGGAATTGTGAATCTTCAGTGTTGCAGATGCACAAAATCTTTGTATAGCTCAAATCTGCTCCTATTCCTGCTCCCTTCCCTGAGAACACAAGCCAGGTCTGTACGAGGCAGAAATGTTATTTCAGTTACCATTCTCCAAAGTCACCTTCACTTAGGAGATAGTAGTAAATGGAGGAGGAGCATTGGGGCAACAGCAGACCTAAGCTCACTAGGAACTTTCAAATTCACCATCCCTTTCCTACAACAGGTGAATTGTATGATAGGAAGGAAAGGGAGAGAAAACACAGGAACTGCAGAAGTGCTTTTGCTCTTTTGCCCCTTGATTACCAAATGCTGCTGGTACACCAGCCTCCTATAGAGAGGCAGCAACCCCAGCTTGGAGCCTGACAGAGCCATGAGTTGGGCTGCCCTAATTGCCTTCACCCATGGCAGAGCCCTTTTTATTTCACTTAGCATCCCTCCAACCACACAAACTCATTGCACAAACCCAATCCATTGCCATCTCTGCTGGCCCATGGTGCACAGTACTGCTGCATGTTTTTCTTCCTGTTCCAAAGCTGACACTTGCAAATACATGCACTTACACATCATACCATCTACTGAGGTGTTTTTTTTCTTTTTAAACCAAGCTAGACTGAAACAGTTACTAATTTTTCTATGTAATAGTGAGATGCCATCAATGCCTCAAGTTGCACATTTTGCATCTGCAGGAGCCAAGTAGTTATATGCTGTAATGATTGAACCATCAGCTGAGACGTTGCAGAGTGACAGGGACATTCTGCATTTTACAGCTGTTTGAAAACAGTCCCTGGTCGATAAGTACTGATTTTCTCAGGAGGAGGAGACCCTGTTTGCAACTGATATTTTCAGGGAAACAGCAAGCTTGGAGCTGGTGCAATGCTGGGCAGCAGCACAGGGTGAGATGTCGCTGTGTCGGAAATTGCCAATGATCTGTTCCATTGATCTTCACCTAGATGTAGCTCACTGGGACCTGGAGTTGGAGAAGTGTAATAATAACAGGATTTTCTATTTTCTCCACTGAGATTAGCAGCTCTGAAGCTCTGTTACCTTACTCCTTCTCCGTGATTTACTTTTAGCTTTTTTGCAGCAGTTGATGTTGTATAATAACCCAGTGTAGGGATCATTGTCCATCCCAGAGCATACAGGTGGCAGAGGGATGTCACCCAAGGGTTCTCTGCCTCTGCAGGCTGAACCCAACCAGCTGGGCTTAAACAACAAAGTTGGATGAGACCCAATGTTTTCATTCCCTGAGTGATTCCAACACTTGCAATGGAGCAACAGGAAGGAGGCTTTCCTCAAAAAACCCTCACAGCTCCTCTGCTACCTCCATCTCCAAGGGGCTTGGCCCCATACTTCACTGGGAGAAACATCAGACACTGGATTCACTCTTACCAAAATGACTGAATTTGTTGATGAGCTTTTTCCAAAAACGCAATGGTTATTAAATCCAAAAGTAAGTAGGAGATGTTTTGAAATGCTTGATAAGAAACTGGTTTCCTCTAGGCTGGCAAGGCTTCCCTTCATTTTCGCCCTCTGTGGAAGATTTTAGAGTGGTAAGGATGTTAAATACATCCATGTAATGCAGCTTCAGACAGCAAAAAGGATTAAAACTTGACTCCAGAAAAGGGAAGGAAGTCAGATTACTTGTCAAAATTAAATTTGCTTTTGGATGCCATTACTTTCTACATTAAAAAGCTCTGGGGATTAGGAGATAAAGCAGCTAAATCCAATCTGGAGACAGGCTCAGAGGGAAATGTCAGCCAGCCAGTAATCCCAGCTCTTTTCTTTAATAGGATCCTCCCGGAGTAAAAGAATGTGAGAACAATTATTTAATTCCATTCTGAATCCTACTTTTCTTATCCACCTGGCTCAGCATCACTATTACAGCGGTAAACCAACCTGTGACCCAAACCTCACAGCTCCACGCACACTGTGGTTTCCCATCTGTGGGGTTATTGTTTGTGCATTTTGGTTTGTTTTTAAGAGTTAGAAATAAAACACACAATACACTGAAGAAGATAAAGTCACAGCCATAGAGAACAAATTGCAGCATGCCTCAGCATCCCAGCACCAATAAGCCAGTAACCATGGTTGCACCATTCTCTGCAAGGACATCTATTCACACAGACACACATGCATTGACTCAGAGAATGACTTAATTCTCCAACACGATACAAAAGATGGGAAAATCTCTACGCTATCCAAATCACTGATTGATTCACAGTGAAGATTCCTTTAAACCAAGCACCAGACAAAGGTCTTCAGCTACTACTACAGATTGACATCAGCAGCCAGTAAACACCAGAGTGCTTTACAGCCCAATGAGAAGCCTGCAACAAAGGTAGAAAGCACTGGCACATTTTGTCAAGAGAGGAAGTGGATGCTCCATCCCTGGAGACATCTGAGGCCAAAGGTCAGGGCTGTGAGCACCTAGTGGAGCTGTGGGGTCCCTGTTCATTCTAGGGAGCGGGACCAGATGGCCTTTAAAGGTCCCTTCCAAGCCAAACCATTCGTCAAGCAAAGGGCAGATGCTCTAATTGCCACAGACAGGGAGATCAGGGCTATAGCAGAGGATCCTGTTTAATGAAGACCCTGATTATTCCTGGAGTTCAAGAGATAGGCAAGAAACAAATACCCACTAAGAGTTTCACAAAAATAATAAAAGTGATGGAGAAATCACGCACCAGAGTTCAGCTGAACGCGTGCGTAACACGAGAGAAAATGCAACAGTGACAGCAAAGCAGCAAAATCCCAGGCTACAGTGAGTGGGGAGACACTCAAACACAACAGCCATTAACATAAAAAGAAGTGAATGAAGCTGCTTACCTTCAGTCTCAGGTACACAAGGATCTCTAGAGAAACATCCTTGCCTCTTCTGCCAACCCTTGAATGAGGTCTGGGCAGGGGTGGATCTTGGTCCAGCCCTTCAGGTCATTCAGTACATTGCACACACCTGAGCTCCCCTGAGTTGGCCCTGCCTTCCACCAGGTGCTCAATCACAGCTTCAAGCAGTGAGTTAGCATTTTCACTACAATATGCAAGAAACTGTGGGTCAAAAACTATTCATCTAGAGATTCTCTTCTACTCTGAAAAAGAATAAATAAATTATATATTAAAATCAAAACAACACAACACAACACAAAAACCAGCCATTGAAAGAAGTGAAGGAGCTCCACCAGGAAGGAAAAAAGCAAAGGCTCTATCATAGCCCAGCAACTTCTGTTGCTTCCTGCTAGGATGTCATAGGGGTCTGCAGGAGCAGGGCTGACAGCTTCCACCTGGCCTTGAACACCAGCACTGCCAGACCCTGGAACCCCCAGCACCTCCCATCCACAATTAAAGGCCTGTCTGTATCTTTCCCATCACCAAAGCCACACATATGCATATCAAAAGGACAGCAGGGCCATCTTCAGATGCTAGAGCCCGGAGGTATGATAATTTAAACAAATAACAAGGAGCAGTGAAGGGAATAAACTGCAGCAAGGCCAGCCAAGTGGATGCACTTGAAGGGCTTCTGGAGCTGGCAATGCAGGTTGCATAGCACAGGAAATGTTCTGGGTGACACTGTGCCCTGGGATGCCACCGCCAGCTGTACCAGTGCCAGTCATAGCCAACAAAGCCAAGGCAGCCCTTCATGCCTGATGCATGCTTATTTTTATTTTTATTTTTAATTAAACTAGCTGTAGGGAAATATAACATTTTCCTTCAGTAATTCATCCCCACGGCTCCCCTATTTTGTCATTTTAATTAAAGCCAGCCCCTGCCACAGTTTGGATGTTTGCAGCGATTAGTATTAAATCAAGCTTAAGCCTTAGGGACTGGTCCATTTTCTGCTTTTCTTTTCTTTTCTTTTCTTTTCTTTTCTTTTCTTTTCTTTTCTTTTCTTTTCTTTTCTTTTCTTTCTTGTTGTTGTTGGGCATTCACAGCCAAAAAACCAGGGTCTGGGGCCGAATGCATGAAAAGGGTAACACAGCTAGCATGGATGTCCCTGACACTGTCCCCATCCCACATGTAGTTCATGAGTCCAGTGGGCACTGAGAGCAGCACCATGCCCCAAATTTCAGCGTAGGCATTCCCATAGCTGAGCTGTGTTTTTTTTTTGCCCAGGTATCCCATTTCAATTTTTCTTTGGAGAATGACTCTTTGTTTTAATTGCTTCTCATTAAACCTGCTGTTACCCTTCACCTTGCATACACAGAGCAATAGAAAATTGTCACTACTACAATATAAGGGAGACAATGGGAGCTCAACTGCCCACCCCAGACCGGGTCAGGTCATCCTTCTCTCCCTAGCAATTGTGCTATTTTGCAGTTGGGATTTTCCTTAGTGCCCAGCCTGAACCTGCTTTTCTTCCAGGTTAAATAAGTTGCCCAGAGCTGCTTTGATCATTGTTGCTGTTTTAATCAGGAGTTGTAAGGTATTCAATGTTTTTGTTAAATGTACAGCTTCAGAGAGAGGTAGTTGCATGGGACTTGTGCACTTCACCTTAAATAAAGCTCTCATTGTTAGCTTTGATAGTGTCAGAGAAAAGGTGGAAAAGCATGACCTATGAATCAGCTAATGGCTCAGAAACAGAGAAAGGAAGGAAAGACAAAAGTACCCAGGAAAGGTTTGTTAAGTCTTCTTCTTCTCTTTTTTTTTTCTTCTTTTTTTTCCCTCTCATAGTTGAGTGCTTTTTCTGCACTCAATTCTGAGAATTCCCAAGTAGTGCTCAGTGTTTTGGACAACTAATGGAGCCTGGAAGCTCACCATTGCCACGTCTTGAATTTGGTTCCCAGTTGCACGATTCACACAGGGCCAGCGCCGACTGTGAGCCCCCCAGTGTTTTCTGACTCTGAAAAGACCCCCTGGGGCAGCACCCACCCTGCAGCCCCCTGAGGAATCAGCTCATTTTAACAACACCCCAAATGTTTGGGGAGAGAAAGCAACCGAGACCAGCCCCTCCGTGCCCCTGTCCACGGTGCTGAAACCGCGGAACGTGGGGCTGAGAGAACGCGGTTACCAAGAAATAAAAATTGAAGGGGGAAAAAAAAAAAAAAAGAAGAAGAAAAAGAAGAAAAAAAGAAAGAAAGAAAACATGCATGTACACGCGTACAAATATCAGAAACCTCCCCCCGAGCTTTCCAATTGCCGTGACAGACGGGCACGTCTTCCGCAGCGCAGGAGGATGCTCGGAGCTCCGCTGCGGCGCGGAGGAGAGCGGTGGCCAAGGGGGGAAGCGAGAAGCGGGCAGTGCTGCCAGCCCCGGCTGCTGAGCCCAAGCAGATGGAGGAACAGGAGGGAGCACTACAGAGTGAGTCAAGATTGTGATTTTGCACAGGAGAAAAACTGTTCTTCTCAAAAGCAGGAAAGAAAAAAGAAATAAGGTTATCTCGTCAACAAGTCTTCAAGATCATGGCAGTCACAAGCCTGCTACAAGTCAGAGCTATGAAAATGGGGAGTCATGCAGCCAGAAGCAGGATTGCTGGTTTTTATTTCTCATCTCATACACAGACAAAGGAGAAGAGCAGCTGCAGCCACTCTGTGCCCTGCTCAGGCTTTAACAAAGCACAGGTGAGGGGCCACATCCAGCCACTGCCCACCTACCTCACCTTGACCCCTAGAAAATAGGATCATTCCACAAAAAAAAAAAAAAAAAAAAAAGAGTTGAATTCTATTTACCAAGACCTCAGAGAAATAGCTACCACCTCTAAATGCCAAAGAAGAAAAAAAGAAGGAACACTAGCCTAGAAATGCAGGAAAAACCCAAACCCTTCTCCTTTCTTCTACCCAGGCTTCTACAGCCTCCTTGTTAATGACTTGGTACTTAATTAATAGTCATTAAATTTATTCATTACACCTGATTCAGGCTTGGCTATGACAAGCTGTGGGGGCTTATTACAGAGGAATGTGATTTAACCCCTTACCTGCCCAGCACTTCTGAACTGCTCCCTGCTCTTCTCCTGGGATCTGATAGATGTTTTTATCATGAACCATATGTCTTCCTATGTCCCTTGGCTGCATCTCATCCACCTTCCCACAAGCCATGACAAGAGTTGGGGCTTTGGAGCCTGAAAAGCCAGGAAAACACCACGTTAGAGTGATTTTCTGCTATGCTATTTCCAGGAGCAGCCAGTCCTAGAATTTCAGGGGGGAAAGCTGTTGCTAATGGGGAAGATGCAATATCTCCCTGGAGTATCTGCTCCTCTGCACCCTGGGGTTGTGATCCTTAGCTCTGTGTGCACTCCTGAATGGAGCAGCAAAAATCTCAGTACATGTAAAGCAAACTGCTCATCCCCAGGTGTGCTGTGACTGGGGTTGGGAGCAGGCACATGTCCGTGTCCATACCTGGAGTGCAGAGCTGGGAATGCTGTGCTTTTGGAATGAAATACCCCGCACTGAGCAGTTCACTGAGCTGCCATTCCTGGAGCTTCAGGGTGAAGGGCTGTACCACACACATCCCCACAGCTTCTGTGAGTGCTACAGAGATGCCTGAGAATAAATTAAATGCATCCAAGTCCCTGTAGAATGATGAATCAATCTCATTTGCACATCTCACCCACAACTCTCAGAGTGCTGATGCTGAGAAAAAGTTCCTCCAAGATTCTTTTTTTTTCTCCTTGGCTGTTCTCATAGACATGCACCTTCCCAACCTCCCTGAGGGTGGGCAGCTCTGTGCCAACACTGTGCTGTGTTACTTTGTCACTGGGACATCACTCCACTCTGACCCTGGAATCTTCAGCCACCTCCAATCAGGAAGATATTTCAGTATGTTCCAATCTACCACATTAATAGTGTACTGCGACCCCCAGATGAGCTACTAAAACAACTTCTGCAGAGATTTCAGCTGCAAAGACTCTGGGCTCCTATGCCTTATTACAGAGGAATCCGTTTTGCATTACAAAGGCCAGCAAGGAAACCCTTTTGTGCTGGGTCTGCAGCTCTCAGTCAGGCGCTAAGATGAGCTATAGGCTGAGCTGACTGAGAGACTAAAATATTAACGGCTCATCCCCCTTCTGCTGGCCACGTGGAAGTAATTGCCATGGAGTAAAACAGAGAAAAGATCCATTTATAGCTCTCAGAGAACATTTCTCCCTGAAGGAAGTTACCACTTCTCCCCAGATGGGTAAGATTCAGTCTCCCAACATACACACGATTCTTCTTTTCTCCTTCTCTCCTCTTAGAATCAGCACATCTGCTGGGCAGACAGGAATGGGGGAAGAAATGCTAAGGAATGGGAAGTGATGTGCATTGCAGATCTCCGGGGCAATGCAGCTCTCCATTACCCATCGACAGAAATCTGGAGATGGAAAAACGTCTGCCCCTAAGGAAGCAACTGAAGGTTAGAGCTGAGGCTCCTTTATTTAGGTCAAGTACATCTCCAGCGTGGAACTTCTCAGCCAGCAGCTGAGATGCCCACTGGAGTTGGAAGTAAGCAGATAACCAGGCACGGGGTGAGGGCTGCTGATGGGGCTGCCAGCAAGGGAGCCAGGCAGCCCAGCACCATGCAGTTCATGCTGCTTTCCACTATTCACAGGCAGTGAATGAAAAAAGATGATGTTGTAGCAGCTTTACAGGCTTGGCTCACAGTACATAGTAGGAGGAAGCCTTCAAACCCCAGTGCTCGTTATGAGCCATACATCCTTGGCTGTTGTGTGTAATAGTCTGTTCCTAATGAAGCTTGAACTGAAGCCAATGAAATTGTACAAATGTAAGGGAGAGGAAAACAACAATCCTTGTGCTTTAAGTCTGCATTAAATCTTGTCTGCCGAATAAATATTAAATATTACAGATCGTTTCACACCTGTGGGTGATGAGAGACAACAATGCTGAGCACAGCACCTGTTGTATTTCATGTTCAGGGCCAGCATACCACCAGTTTTAGAGGCATGTATTGGAAAACACATCTCTGCACATGCTGGTAGACATGATCTGCATAGTACCCTGTTTTTCAAAGGTTTTACACAGTCTGTTGATCCACTGTAATGAGGAGGAGGAGGAGCCTTTACACAAAACCTCCACTTTATGAATGTGCCATTTCTG